AATTAAAAATTTAAAAAAATTGTCCTGCAAGCACCTTAGAGACCAACTAAGTTTGTTCTGGGTATAAGCTTTCGTTTGCATGCACACTTCTTCTGTTTCAGTGTATCAGAAGAAGTGTGCATGCACACGAAAGCTTATACCCAGAACAAACTTAGTTGGTCTCTAAGGTGCTACTGGACAATTTTGTAATTGTTTTATTTAAATAGGGATATATGCATGGAACGGTCCCTGAAATTGCAATGAATGGGGAAAGTCTTTGTATGTGAGAGCGCCATGTATGTATTAGAGCTCTACACATCTGGACTGGGACAGTGGCCTTTAAATATATAACAGCTTAACTGATACTCATGACTTTAGAGAGAAAGAAGTTAGCTATTACTTTTCTCTAACAAATACAGAATTCACAAATAGCTTTGTCTTTTGCAGTCAGTTACTGAATAGGCTTTCATACAGAAAGAACAATGCATCATTCACACTTTGCAGAAGAAACTAACCATATTATATATATTTTTAAAAACTGGTTCTTCAGTATTATGTGAGTGGAGACAGTATGTGTTTCAGTAGGTGGATCAATGGATTTGGGCATATACTACCTGGGTTCATTTCCTACTTCAGCCATAAGCAAGCCACCCTTTCCTAGCTTCGGTTTCTCATTCGCGAAATAATAATAATGATCTATTGCACAGGGCTATTATGAGGATAAGCAAAACAACCGAGTCACATACAGTATAGTCTGTGCTTTTTTGTGATAGCACCATGTACCATGACCTCTCCCCCCCCCCCGCCCATGATGGCCATTTTGTGCAGGTACTTACAGCACTTTTATCAAGATATAAGTTCTGGCACCTTTTGTTTAACCAAAAGAGCACTCTATATAGTATAATAATCGAGATTCCATGAACTCCCCCCCCCCAAGTCACTGTGGTATTTTTGTATTTTTGAAGGAGTGTGTAGCAGATAGCGTTCCCTCAAAAACATCACTATTATACTGTTGGGGGAGGGGAATCATTTCAGTAAGAATGTTTAAATATCTTTGTTGCATACTTTACCTTCCAGGTCATAAGTTGCCTCCAGAAATTCACCTTCATACAGTTCTGCCGATATACCTTATGAGAGTCCACCATTAAAGTTAATTCAGAGACACCCACTTTCACACAGGCAAGATATGAGTCAGTTGTTAGTAATCCCTGTTAGTAACTATACAGAGATATGTACTGCACCTTGAAGAGGAGCTTTGGGATTATCAAGGAATTGGCTAGATAATGAAACAGAGCTTGCTTCTTCTACACATGGCAAACCATTGTTTGCCTATTTCCCCCCTGGCCCCTTTGGTTCCAGCAGACTGAGGCTCCAACCACAGATCAAGGGGAAACAGCACAATCAGGGGGGGGGAGGGGGGAGGATGATGCCGTTGAAAACTCACAGGGTTTTGGTGTCTTCTCTTCAGTCTTGATCAAGCCCCCGTCTGTCTCCTCACTATTATTTTGCTCTGTACCACCACCACTGTCTCCCTTGCCCTCTGTAGTGGACTCCTGAGAACCTAAATAATTTGGAAAGCACATTTGGTACTTTACAGTCATAGGCAGAAGAGCCTTTGAGACTGGTATATCTGAGCATCCAGAGAGAAAGATGAGGTTTGAAAGAAGAGGAGATAGGCAGGAGAAATCCATTGAGTAAAAGAGAAGATTTAGCAGGAAGAGAAGATTAAAGTGTAGGCCAGAATAAGAAAGAGAAAGCTAAAAAGAAATAGAACAGTGGTGTGCAGAGGTATATGGTGGTATAAGGTGATCTGGAAGTCTGCTGGCATGATGTATAGTTGCAGTTGACTGAACTCAGTTTCTCTAAGTATCGCCTGTCAAAGAGTTTTCATTCACAGTTGTTACTTTGCTTTTCTGGCTTAGAACCCCATTGTGCATACCATGTATGGTTCACTGGATAACATTAAATGATTAAAATCTATTTAAGGATTGGTGTGCCTTGCAAGGCGGGCCTAATGACAAAAGTTTTCAGGTTTTATAATCTGTCTTGATATTGGACAATAAAACAGGCAGGAAGCAGAAAACTGGACCTGGAGAGTAATTGTGTTGTAGGGTCTGCTGATGACAGCACTGCTGCAGTGATCTCAACAGGTTTTATTCTTGTGTTGCTGGTGTTTCCATTAAGACCCTGATCATGAGTTTCATGTGAATACATGTGTCCACATTCAGGACAAAACCTGGGGGAAATAAAGGTGTTGGAAGACAAGCTTTACTTGGGGTTGTTCACCTTGAGGTTGAGAAGGCACCTAACGTTGTTTCAGGGCTTGCTGATTTGAGACAACAGACTTGTTGGATCAAATTTAGGTTATTGTGTGCCACCATATTCAGCTGGTTATGTTTTTGTTATGTTGATTCCGGAGAAAAGGAAATACAAAACAGGTAAGGGTATCTCTCTTTTTTTGCAACATTTTATTTTAGCCAATGAAAACTTCAGTGTCATTTGCAAACTTACAGAAATATGTCTGTGGGGATTTTCCCTTACCCATTTTGCATTTACAATGACTGTTATTCTGAGAGAATAAAAGAGTTGTGAGCCTCTAATCACCTAGGTGCTTATTCTTTTATTTTCAGTTCCCAGTGCCTTCGTATTCAATTCTTGATAGCATAGATGAATGACTGAATGAGTTATAATAATTTATTATTACGGTTGGAGACCAGCTTGTGCACTGAATGAGTTAAGAGGAGCATAATATCTGATCCTGTCACTAAGTCCATGAGTAATGTTTGATCCTTTAAACTTATATGTGTATGTGTAATGTAATATTGGTTCCACTGAAAGCTGAGGATCCCCTTTATTAACTTTAAAGAAGCCGCAATGTTTCTCACTTTTCCAAGGTCACTCTGCACTATTATCATAGAAATTGTCTGTGCATTAAAGCAGACCTAATAAAATTCCATTCAAGGGCAATAGACAAGAGAGAGAGAGAGTAAAAGAGAGAAGGAAAAGAGAATAATTGATAGAATAAGTAAGAAGAAGAGAAGGACAGAACTGAAAAAAGTGACAGCTGAAAGATTGACAGTCAAAGAAAGTATACCTGGAGATCCAGGTGAAATATTAAACGTTGTAGAAAATTAGTTGAAGGAAAGGTACTGGAAAAAAGATGAAGAACAGAGATATTCAGGTACTGAAGAAAAAAATGAAAGGAAACAAGGCAGAACAAGAGATATAGCAAGAGCAAGAGAAAACACCAAGTATTTTTTGTATTTTCCAAAACGTTTTGTTCCAAAGTGTTACAATATACACATGAGTGGCATTAACTATATATATACATACACACACATAAATATATAGGTGTATATCTAGAAATGCAAAGCATAAGTAGAATACACATCATGCACACAGTATTGTCTGTAAAATACATCACTACTGTATTTTATGTGAGGTGGGTAACACCAAAATGGCAGACGTGGCTGTCATTTTGAGGGATCTTCTTAATGCTTTTAAGCCTATCTGAAAGAAAAAAGTAAGAGTTTTGCTCTGTTCAACAGGTACACAAGGAATTTTGTTCTGCTGATCCCTGAAGTGTCCCTTGAAAGACATTTCTACCTATGATGGCTAGATTTATGATTTACTATGCATATCACATCCTCCCTAGTTACAAAGAATTTGGGACTGTTGGCTAATTCATATATTCTTGATTCATTACTCCAGTTTTTTTGGACTAAAACTCCCATCAACTCCAGTCAGCATGGAGCTGAGCTGAATATTTGGCAAATCCACTTTCCCAGGGAGATGAAGTATGGTATGAAACTTCCATAGGTGTCACAGAAAGCTAACTTATTCTTGTATTTTCCCCATGCAGTTCAGACACATTGCTCTTTATCAAGGATATTGCAAAGAGACTGGGCTCTAATGCACTGTGTAAACTTCAATAATAAATCAGTTTTCTACATCACCTGTGGTTGCTTTTTCCTGGGGGTTCCCTACCCCAACCTGTAAATTATGCTGCAGCTTTCTTGTGTCTGGAAGGCTCTACCAGACCTATTAAAATTTTCTTTAATTTGTCCATTTAAAAAGAAAAGAAAATCTATTTATTTTCCAGTTTTCTTAAATTTCCCACATTGAAGATATTTGGCAATGTGGGAAGGGGTTTAAGTCCCTGTTGGTTTAAACACTCTGCATAGCTATTCATCTGTAAATGAGGTTCTTAATAATAATAATAATAGGTCTAAACTTCTGCTATAGGGTCAAATAACACATGATGTTAATCACACGGTTTGTCCTTGTGTGCAGGATTTTTTAAAGTGTAGGGACCAAAATCCAGATTAGGACCCTGATATGGGAGGGGGAATAAAGAAGCTTTAGCCATTTGAACCATATGGCACTCCTATCAGGAATGGGTTCCCCACAGGGGGCAGGGGTAATCTAAATCAGGACTGCATCAGGGAGTAAAGAGTCCCACACCAGGGTCCAGATCCAGACCGGAGGCAGGAAAGAGGGCACTGGCTATACATGAAAGGAAGAAAAATCCTGCACTCAAGGGCAAATCATGTGATTAATGCCATGTGTCGTTTGGCTCATAGTCGAAGAGTAGAATCTATTAAAACATCTTAATACTCTTTAAGGGCTTTGTTCATCAGGGAAATAGTGGCAAGCTTTTGCCAAGGCAAATGATAGCTAGCCATAGCTTACGGCGTGAAGCCACTCACTTGAACCTTTAATCTCAGAGGCGTGAAGGCTGCCTGTTCTTTGCTATTTCTGTTAGGGTGAGTGATGGAGGGCAAAGCAGAAACTGGAGACCGTCCACTTTCCTCCCAACTGTTGTCTGCCACTCCTCTGCCCGCCACACAGTGCTCCATTCACTTCCTCTAGAAACAGATACTTCCCAAGCTTCCGGCTGGTCTTCCTGTACTGTAAAAGTTGTATAGACTGCCTATACCAGTAACACAGCTACAATTAAATTTAGGGCAAGAATATCCTCCTATTCTTGAACATTTCACAGAATAGCTATTATCCAGACACTGCAAACTGGGGTGGGGGAATGCTTTCCCAAATGAACTGTGGAAGTTCTGGACTTCACATAGTGTCCCATTTCCTTACCTGTTCTAGGTCACATCCACATCCACTGTTCTTCACTTCAGATCAGTTGCCTTTTTAACTTATATCAAGGCTCTAGAGAGTGCCACACCATGTACACAGGAACAACTGCAGTTTTAGAGATCTGATTGACACTGAAAATCTTCATCATATAATAGGGCTGGCTTCAACATGATAAATGCCCCAATTCGCATGCAGCCAGATATGGGTTGAAATAATTAACCCTTATTCAAGTGTGGCAAAGCAGGTGTGATGGCTCAATCACCAGCTCAGCTTGCCTATCAGCACACAAAATCAAAGTTTAGGGAAATATTCTGAAACACCAAAATTTAGAAAGGCCAATCTAAGAGTTGTGTTGACCTGACCAAGTAAGAAATGACAATGGGAATAAGGGAGGGGCAGTCATATCTCTGAATTAATTCTTGCTTTTCCTTTGTCCTTAATTTTGTTTCTAAAGTAGCACCTAGCATTGCTGCTGAAAGTGGACATGGCATTTCCATACCAGTGTAATACATATTTTACAAGGTTTCAGAATTTTGAGCTGCTGGTCTGGAATGCTAGTTAACAAGGCAAGACCAATATTATTTTTAGCAACAGTTGTACCAACCATTTAGAAGCCGGATAGGATAGAACCACATACTTGACTTGGAGAACCCCCACTTACAATATAGTCGCCTCAATGTGAGTGAAAGCAGCTCTCTATTATAAAAAGTAAGACATCTCTCACCTAACTGAAGAAAAATTCAGTTGTCACTTACTTCCTTCAAAGCAATACTCTATAATATAGCCATCTAAACCTGCAGCTCCAATTTGGTCTGGTGGCCGCCATTTCATGGTAACTGTAGTATCTGTTACGGAATCAACTGCCAGGCAGGTGGGTGGACTCGTGACAGCTGGAAGCAATGAAAGAGAGTGTCTGAGTTTGCAATACAACCTTTGCTGCATGTTTGCATCAATGTCTATCTGTTGAAGTCCTTTAACATTTTGTTTTGATCTCTTCCTCTTTTGTCCTGTTCCCACACTTTTCATTTTATTTGCACACTTTCTTCCCCTTGGGATTGTGTGCAGTTTTGTGGATCGCATTAATTAAAAGTTGCTGCAACATTTAAAAGAAAATGGAGGAACTGACTTAGACATATCTTTGGTATTCTGATAGTCTGATTATTTGACATTGTATATTATCTACCCACCCAAAGGCACAAAAGGCTTTGAGGGCTCGCTTGGTTTCGAAGTGCCTATGGCATTGACAGCAAACACCCGGACTTCATAGGCAACTCCTTCAATCATCTTTTTGGGCTCAAAAGTTGTTTCTTTAATAAGGTCAAAGTTCAGCCTCATCCACCTGGAACTTTGCTTCTTTTTCCTCTCAATGTAGTAACCTAAACAAATATAAGCAGAATTACAATTATTATTTTTATATAAGAAAAACATAGACTCTTACAAATGTATACATTCTATTATTTCATTAGTTAAAGAGATGGAACTATCAGGAAGAATATTATAAATTTTTAGAATGAAAAAAATAACAATAAAGAAGTCTCATCTTTCTATAAATGTACCTTCTTGGGGGTGTATGGTGTGTGTGTACAGTGGTACCTCGGGTTAAGTACTTAATTCGTTCTGGAGGTCCGTTCTTAACCTGAAACTGTTCTTAACCTGAAGCACCACTTTAGCTAATGGGGCCTCTCGCTGCCACCGCGCTGCCGGAGCACGATTTCTGTTCTCATCCTGAAGCAAAGTTCTTAACCTGAAGCACTATTTCTGGGTTAGCCGAGTCTGTAACCTGAAGTGTATGTAACCTGAGGTACCACTGTATAGTTAATTTAGTTAATAATGCAACATCTCTTTTTTTGTTTTGTTTAACCATCATCCTATTGAGTTATATTATTTTTACAAATCTGGCCAATAAATTGTCTTGCACAGATGAAAAAACTTGTAACAAGGTGTATATTGGTTGTTCTTGCTTTTGCTCATATTGGAAGGTAGTCTTGGGGTTCCTTGTTATGTTATATACTGTAATTTCCTGTATGGTATCCATTACTACCTTCCAGAATTGCTTTATTTTTGCTCAAAATGCATTTATAAAGTACAAAAATACATGTATAAAATCTGCTTTTTTATGCATCCAGAAATTCATATTAATTTCATAAATTTTGCTTAGTTTGGAGGGAGATAGGTGCCACTTGTAAGCAAGTTTGAAAAAAAAGTTATTTGTGGTTTACACTTATTAATAAACATGGTATCATTTTATGCAGCCAGGTCCAATCATCTTGATCTATAAGGACGTTAGCTGATTAATAATAGCTGATTAATATAAGCATAAATGTAATATCATTGGCTAATGGCCCAGAACTTCTAAAATGAACAAAAGTGAACATCACAGAAAGTATTTGTTTGACCTGGGCAGCACAGTGGTATCTGAATAGGTCCCCACCCCACATTTCCTAGAGAAAGCAAAAACCACCAGTTAAAATGTTTCTGCTTATCCATGGAATGCCATGTAGCTGAAACACCAGTTTGATTTCTTGTGCAAACTGTCGACAAAGCATATTACATGGCCTAAAGCTATCTATATTTACACTATTCAAACATTTCAAGGCTGCTTTATACATGTTTCCTAGAAACAGGTAATAACTGATTTTGAATCAAGTGTGGGCAGTACTAAATAAAACAAGAAACATATGACTGTTGCTGAAAGTTGCCTCTCCATATCAATTCCTCCTCTCAAATCTTGGTGACAATATGTAGTATATCCTCAGGCTCACTACTCACACCTGCTCTTGAGCACTACCCCTTAATCTCCCCACCCCCCAAAGTTTTTCAATCATTGCCAGGCACCTGGGACTCGGAACCACCATTTTAATTTCCCAGAATGCCACAGAACATTGCAACCTTGGGGGCAATGTGAGAATATTAAATGATGGCTCCCAGTCACCTATTGGCAGTTGGATCACTGCTGGCAAAGGCTTGCTGTGAAGCTAGTAAAGTCTCTTGGGCTGTGGTTCCAAAGCACCCAAAAACCAGATGGCTGTCAGGTATTTGGAAAGCGCTATGCAAGCGACTTTGTCATGGAGGCAGGACAACCCACCTGTCATAAGATTGACAGGTGGTTTGTCCTGCCCACCTGTCAAAGGTGGCCCAGGGGGGTGGAGACAAATATTGATCTAGCCTACCAGACTGAAAAGGTTTCCCTGAATGTGTGATGCAATGTTTATAATACTCCAAGTTTCTCTTCCTTCAAAAGTGATAGTCAATAAAGTGAAACTAGGGTGGGAAAGTTGGAGGCAATTACTGTTATATCACATGCTGTTTTTCTACATGTTTCCAGACACACAGAGAGAAGGCTGTGCAGGTTTTTTGCCTGTATATAAAATGGTATCTATGAAGTCATATACACAAGATGAAAATCTCCTTTGTTGGTTCTCAGAAAATTCTATTTTAAGAGACAGCAGCTAGATGCCCACCATGTGGGCACCAACTCAGAGGTTCCCTTAAATTTGACAGTAAAAAGCTAGGAAATATCAAAATAGCTGTGCAGATGCTAGATCTACTTACCTAAGATAGGCGACCCACCATCATATGCTGGAGGTTCCCAGTTCATAATGCACCAATCTTCTCCTACTTCAACCACATTGGGTGCCGCAGGAGGGTCAGGAATATCTGTTGCAAGCAAAAATATTTTTATTTCCTTGGATAGCCTCCCCTACTAAACATGCTGATATTGCTGTACAGTGAACTGTTTATTGCT